GGTTCAGGGTAGTATCTAGTCGAGCGCTCTCGACTAGAGTTTTCTTACTTGTTGGGTATATTGTGTATACTTTACTTCATTGTCCCACAATAATGTAAAAAGTTTGAAACAGTTGAGCGATTTACGTATAAAAATATCGATAATTATTTGATTTTTTCGTTCAGCTTCATACTTATAGTTGTCGATTTATATTTATATATTATTATATCACTATATGCTATCATGGGTCCGGCATTATTGTCTTGCTATAATAATCACTTCAAGACCCTTGTCTTGTCTTAGATGTTATTACGTACATTTTGATCTCAAATATTGGTAACGCATTGAGCCCTATAGGTTATCAAAGGGGAAGTTCTCTATAATCTGATGACGAATGGGCTGGTTCAATCAGTTATGGATAGTAATAGAAGCTTCACTATGGGATATTCGATAATTGTCGCGTAGCAATTTGCTTAAATAATGCAAAGAGTAGAACGGGGAAAACAAGTATGTGAACTGGAGGTGGATGATGGCTCATTAGAATGCGTGACACGGGCAAATTGTTTAGATAAATCCCATTATATTCTATGCACATATAGTATATCTATATGATGGTGTGTACACAAATAGCTGAGCGGCTGATCATCGGTGCAATACTCGTGCTTTGGCTGCTATTCTAACTATCGGTCAATGCACTTCGCTGGGGTAGGGGCGGCTGACTATGGGGAAAAAGCTTTTGGCTTTCAGCTTGTAGTGCCTGCAGTGCGAGTCTCTAAGATAAACAGGGCTACAGGGAGGTGGGAGGCGGGAGGGTGAGCGGCTATCAAGAGCGGGCGATTAGAAAATACAAAAATATCAGTAGTAGTTAAAACAAAAACAACAACAACAACAACAGCTGTGTTATGGCCGTATAAATATGAATCGCATCGCCGTCAACAATCACAATTGGCCATGGCATTAGAAAAAGTTTGGTTGTTCGGCTCAGGGCTACGTCTAGACGCCGTTCAGGGTTTGCTAATCGTCTGCTTGGCGCTGGCCTTGGGCCAGCAGGAGGTGGCAGGTGCCTACAGCCAGCAAGAGCTGCTCACCTGGCTGCAGCAGAGCAACTTTGGCTACCAGGTGCTGCAGCAGGCGAACAGCTCCAGCGACGAGCTGCTCTGCGTCACAGAGGTGGCCCTACTGTTGCAGGCGGCCGAGCGACATGCTCTGCCCGCGGTGCAAGGTAAGCGAGAATAGCGAGAGGTAGCTCTGCTTAGCCCATAGCCTTACCATTCTCTCTTGCAGTGCTCGATGCGTGGGGCAAGTTTCCGCACGGCCTGCTCTACGGCCATTTCAGTGATCTCGGCAACTACGAGTCCTGCCTGAGCCAGAGCCTCAGCCAGAGCCTGGGCAACTCGGCTGCGGCTTTAGCTCCGAGCAAATACTGCTTGGCCCACATCGCCTTCGAGTCACTCTTAGCCACTGACGAGGATCCGGTTAGCATTAGCATTGGCACCTGCATTCCGGCTGCCTGCAGTGCCGATCAGCTCAATCGCTGGCTCAACAACTATCTGCAGCGCATCTTCGAGGATGCAGCGGCTCCACAGCTGCAGCTGGTGCAGGAGTCCAATTGCGCCCTGGCCGCCAGAGAGCCAATGGCGTCACTTGATTGGTTCGCAATGTAAGTGGACCGATGGATGGATATAGAGAGAGTACATATGGCATATCTTATATTCTGACTCCTATCAACTACTCCTCAGTGTGCTGCTCATCACTTTGGCCCTGCTCGTCGTTCTGTGCACGCTGTTGGACTACTTCAAAGGTGAGTGCTAGACTTGCGTAATTTACATAACCTCAATACTGATAAGCTCGATTATTGATAAGGCCGATCAAGGCAAGGAGCAAGTTCGTGTCGGTCTGTATACAGATGTGAATATATACATACATACATCATCATCAACTATATTTATTTATTATTATTATTATTATTATTATTATTATTATTATTATTATTATTA